CGCGTCCCGCCGGCGGCGCCGCTGCTTTGCGCTGTGCGGGAGCGCCCCCTACCGGCCCTGGAGGGAGACGCCGCCATCTCCCCCCCCCTCCCGCTCCCTCTCTCCCTCCCCTTCGGCCAATCAGCGCCCGCCTTCCCTCGCCCAAATGCCGGCGGCGGTGTGTGTTTGGCGGGCTCCCCGCGCGCGCGGCAAGGTAGCGGCGGTTGGTGGCGGCCGTTGCGCTGAGGCGGCGGTGGCGGCCGCCCGGTCCCGTCCCCCCGGTCCCGTCCCCCCGGTCCCGTCCCCCCGGTCCCGTCCCCCCCCAACCCTGCGCCGTCCCTCCTTTCCCGTGAGGGAACGGAGCCTTGCCTGAGCTGGCAGTTCGTCGAGGCAGGGCAGGCCGGGCTAGGGGTCTGGAGGCGGGGAGTGAGGGCCTGGGCCTGGTGGATAAGTCCCTGGTGTGGAGCCCTTGCTGAGGGGGGGGGGTTAGAGGCGGTGGCCCAGCGGTTGCAGGTGGAGGAGGGTAATTAGTCCGACAGAGGCACTTCGTGTGCTTGCACTTGCCTGTTTCTTAACTTAACCCAACTGTCAGTGGTTCATTCGAGGCTCCTTCGTACTCCCAAACTTCTTTCAAAGGCCTTCTTTCCTTCAGAACTGCTTGTCTGTATGCAAGCAGCCCCATTCGCTGCTTTGTTCCCGATTCTTGCCTGTTTTGTGAGAAAATGATGGATTTATTTATTTTTTTCCCTCCTTCTACTTGTAAGTTCCTTTGCACAGAACGATGGACAGTGAGTGGAAAAGCTGTGCTTCTGCAGAAGTATCTGATGTGTTGGAATCAGTTTCTTTTCTGAATGTAGCGGATAAACCCTCACCTATGGAGTCAACAGTATTGCCTGATACAGAGGAACAGGAGGTGTGAATTGGTTTTGTAATAACTTTTCCTGATTTTTTTTTTTTTTTTAAAGCTTTAATTCTGGCAACTATTCCTTTGGTAACAACTGCTTTATTCCCTTGCCCCCAAGATGTTTTGGTTCTTCTACTTCTCATTGTTTACAAATAAACCGTAGCCAGTAGCAAATGCAGATGGTCAATGCTCCATGATGCGTTGTGTAAAGCTTTTGAGAAGGAAGTAAAGGACCTCAGTAATTGCACTTTGAATGCAATGTGACTGTACCGTTCTTTTAAGTGAGCTAAAAAAGGATGTAGATCCTTGTGGAAAGCTTATGTGCTTGGAGATAAAAATCTATGATGTTGTGCTGCGGTACACTTTTGGAGATAGTATGGACATCTCTGCTTTTTTAGGATGGTAGGTTTCCTTATTGACTTCCCTCAGGTGATGTAATTCTCTATGGTTAGTGGGGTGCTGGGGAGTGGGGGGGCTGTGGAGACCTCTGGAAAACCCACGTGCTGAATGAGCAAGTTGCCAAAGTAGAGACTTTGAAGCTCTGTGAGAAAGGAAGGAATGCTGGCATCCCTCTAAAAATTTTCCTGCTATTATTGCCTCACCTGGATGGGGAGACATGTAATGTTATGGGCTGGAAAAAGCCTGCCTTAGCAATGGAGAACTGTCTCGTGGTTGTTACTGTGAGGAAGATGTGGGGCTAGTGCCTGGATGGTGATAATGAAACGGTCTCTTGAGGCTAAGGATGTGTCAATCTATTAACTGAACCTGCTCCATACAAAATGGAAGTGCAGTACTGCAGAGCAGCTGTTAGAAAATACAACTTGAATTCAATACAGAGGGAGACCAGAAGGTGGAAGCAGTGCAGTTTACGCCTCCAATAGCGTGGTCTTTTAAAATCAGAGCCTTAGCTTTATCATAAAAGAACACGAAGTGTGTGTGGAGAGAGAGCGTGGACAAAAAAGGGGTTACTTAAGGACATTAGGAGGCAGAGAAGCAGATGAAACCTTAGGGTCTGAACTTTACAAGGAAGGAGAAGGTGAGGCAGTAAGATAAAATATGAAATATTGCATCAGAGATGTATCCTGCTATGATTTGGGGGTGTTCTGTTTAAAAAGTGGCCATTGTAACGGCATTATTTTTTTTTTAATGAACAGGCATATCAACCTTTGAAAGTCTTCTTGAGAGTGAGGCCCTTTTCTGTAACAGAGCTTGAAAACCATGAATCTCAGGTTAGTTGTAGAATTAAGAAATAAGTTTTTCTTGTCCCCCAAAGAGCACCTAGTTTTGTGAGTTGGGACTTTATTTTATAAAAGCCATGAATTGCTTTCAAATTAGAATCATCTGGATAACGGTGATTTTAAATTTTTTTTTTAAATCACAATTGTTACTGATTTGCATAGCTCTGCAAAATTCCATGGGGTATGTTATTTAAAGGTTGGTGTCAGCCTTGACTCTATAGTGCTCAAGAAACAAAGGAGTTTCGTGGAAGAGATTATGCAACTCCAGGAGTTGCAATCTGACCCTTGAGTTTCTTTGGGATGCCTGAATAGTCTGCTGCCTCGTCTGGGTAACTTGCTGCTCATCCTGTCAAACTTCTCTCTAACCTCTACAGCTTATACTGTCAGATTCAGAATGTTTTATGCAAACATGCAAAAGCACAGAAATACTCCTCCTTGCTCCTGATGCCATCCATCGCAAATACTGATGCAAAGAATTCATTTAGCTGTCCTTGGAGGACAAGGTCTCTGCAGTGTATCTCAAAGTCCTCATGTCTGCAGGGTCTCAAAGGCTTTCTGACAGACCTCTTGTTCCTGACCTGTTTGAAGAAGAATTTAATATTAGTTCAGATTTGCTTCTTGCGATTTGCTTTTTTTGAAATGTAGCCTTGCTTTTAATCTTCTGGAGTTGAAAATTTTGTGGGTTTTTTCATTTGGATTACTTTTCCCCCCCTCAACTTATGTCTATCTTTCTTTAGACAGTTTTTGTTGAGTAGTATGCACTGCCACAGTGCTTCTAGTTTGGTATTATTTAGCAATCTGAGCTGGCTGTAAGGGTAAATTGATTTACAAAATCAAATTGGTTCATGAGTTTTGTTATTCCTCTTTGAAATGGGAAATACCTGACTACCCGACCATTAGTGAAACTACTTGTTCTTAAAAACAGGGAGGGAGGAAAAAAAAAGTGTTGAAGCTTGTGCTACACTTTTTTTAAAAACTCTTGTCTTAATGACAAAATAGTTGATTTTCCAATGCATTAGCTGTATAACCTGTTTTGCCTGGTATGAAGCCTTTTTTCCTCAGCTTCTCCAACAACTATGAATGCTTGAGAGATCTTCAACTTCTTCAGTGTTTTCTACTCTCTTAACTATCACCTGAATCTGGGAGAAAGATGCTTGGTAACAAATGAAAAAAACAAACCCAACAACCAACCAAAAAACCCCTTACCATCTGTATAATCAATGAGAGATCAACTTAATTTTTTATGTCCTTTTTTCCTCCCTGAGATACATAATTGTCAGGAAAGCATCTTTGTTTCAAATATGCAACAAGAAAAGAAAAAAATAGAACCCAAGCTCTGTTTCTTACAGCTGTAGACTGACGTTTAAACAGAGATAGTCAATAGGTTAACTCATCTGTGGTTGCTTATAATGATTTCTGCAATAAAGCTCAAGAGCTTTGGATGAAATTCAGTACTTCTCGTACAACTGCCAGTGATTCTCTAGTCACCCATGGGAGAACAGGAAGCTCTTTGAATATAAACTATGTGTATAGAGCCAGAAATGGTCCAACTCCTGCCAGCTTACCTGTGGGGTTAGCTGGGGGGGGAGACAAAAAGAGTGTTGTGTTACTAGCTGGATTCCAGCTCTACAGATCTGACTTCAAGGCCTCTACTCAGGAGCATCTGAGGCTGCAGATGTTGGATTCTCCTGTAGCTCTAGGATTTGGTACATCTGACCTGCATTTCTCTTCCTGGCAATGCGGGAGGAGTGTTAAAGAGTGTATGGGGTTTAGAGCCTGGCACAGTGAGCAGTGATTGGTCTGAATGCAGTACCCAACTTCTTGGAGTTTCAGTTGATAAACAGACTTGTTAGCTGAGATGCTAGGGAGAGTAGTACTTCCTATGTACATGCTACATATGGATTATTAGCTTTACCAGCTCTGGCCAGTCTCTGAACATAAATGTCAGATTTAGTTACAGTCAATCTTTGAGGCTGATGCTTCAAGACACAGTTAAGCTATGCTGGTAGTTCAGTTTGTATTTTTGGTAGCCTGTCTGGTGTAAAATAAGTTTTCCTGGGCTACTGCATTCAACATTTATCTACTGAGTGAGTGCTAAGTCATTGCATCTCATGTTTACTTAACTGAGAAGCACTACTTGAAACTAATTCAGTTTTCTTCATTATTGATAACACCATCTATCAAAGGATAATGCTTCAAACTTATTTTACTTATTTACGCTGGTCATAGCTTGTTTCACACTGAAAATGATTGAAGTGAGAAAACAATAGATTTCTATATAGCTTTGTTGTCATAGTTAGGGGTTGTGCAGGCCACAATCACAAAATACGAGGGTTTAGAACATTTAAAAAAGAAAAAAAGTTGCTGGAAGGAATCCTAAAAAACTTTGATACTTCTTAGAAAACTCCGTATGATTGACTTGGCTTTGTCTGCACTCTGGCTTTCATGTGAAGTGGGTATCTCTGTTGTTACCTGCCTCAAGAGTGGTTATGTGTCAAGTTTGAAACTCTGTAACTCTGGTAAAGAGATGAAAACACTAGGGCTTTTGTAGGTTTGGGTGGGTTTTTTTGGTCTGTTTGGTTTTTTCAGATACCTTTCTTCACAAATATTTTCTGTGTGGTGTTTTGGTTTACCTTGTCTTGTTTTTTTTAAGAGTTGCGTAACTATTGAAGATGCCCAGACAGTAATTCTTAATGCACCCAAAGAGTCTTCTACAATGAAAAACAGTGAAAAAGGGATTGGTCATTCCGTGCACAGGTTCACTTTTACTCAGGTAGGCAAACTTTTTTAGTTATAGTTTGTTGTTTTCTCACTGCAATGATAAAATTGAATTTTCTACTATATCATGCAATGTGAATTTTTTTTTCTTCTTTGAAGTACCTGGTACCTGTGGTGGTACATGCTTTAAAAAAGACTGTTTATTATTTACTGTTAGGCTGTCAAGAAAGCTGTATTGCAATGGACGTCCCTATTAGACAAGACAAGGAAGCTTCCTTGGTAGCTCTGTTTTCTTTGATGAGGTGCCACAGAAGCTTCTCACAGGCACATACTTACAGTTGTTCTGCTGTTCCTGCTGACGCCCTCCTCTGGGAAGTGTTACAGGAAATCACTTGTTTAAAGGGCCTGATGTAAGCATGTGTTTAGGGACTTAATTTTGAAAGAATAGCAGCCCAACTGCTTAAACCTTCTGTACTGGAAGTAAATTTCTTAACTCTGTTACCTTCTGCAAGAAGTGCCATTCTTACAGTATCAACACATAAGCAGCTCCAGGCATTGAGTTCTTTAAACCCTTGTAATGTTGATCTTCTCATCTGTCCTGGGTGACTGGTAACAGACTGAAGAGGGAGTCACCAGCAGAGCCCTTGAAAGTATTCACTAAATAGTATGTGCTCAGTAGCATTTTGTGTAGTTTATTTTAGAAATAGGAAAATATTCAAAAATAAGTGCAAGCCTGAGTGCCTCTCAGAATTAAGTAGGCATCCCATGAGAACCCAACGGAAAATGTTGAATCGGAAGGGGTTCAAGCAAGACAGAAAACTAAGCTGGTATCTCCTACTCAGTTTGCTCTGAAAAACTAGTGCTTAATATTAATCAGTGCTTAATATTTTGATACATTAAACTTTTTTGTGCTGCTTATCACTACTTTTTTTCCCTTTTTTTTTCCTCCTCTTTCTCCAAGGTCTTTGGACCAGAAACTACTCAGAGTGAGTTTTTTGAAGGCTCAATGAAAGAGATAGTAAGAGCGTATGTTAATGGAGTGAATGGACTGGTGTTTACTTATGGGGTTACAAATGCAGGCAAGACATTCACTATCCAAGGTATAAAATGTTTGCCAAAAATCATATATAACAACCAAGTCAAAACCCAATGAGAAGTTTTTATGAATGTCTGCATCTTATGCTTTGTTATTTTTAAGGGACTTCAAAAGATTTTGGCATTTTACCTCGCTCACTTGATGTGATTTTTAACCACATAAGGGGAAGACATTACCTGAAGATGAACTTCAAACCATATTTAAGCAATGATATTAAGAAACTAGAAGATGCACAAGTGAAGCAAGAAGAAGCCATAAAAACTGCTATTCTTGCATCACTGAAGGAGGTCAGTGACCGAGTACTTCCTTGTTACTGAATGAAGCTTCTTAAAAACTTCTTGTCTAACAGACTATCTTTAATGTAATCTCCGTTTCACCATTGATTCTTTAGATTGATCTAAATCTACAGTACGTTTACTTGGTGAACCTTGGAATAATAAGGCTGGTTTTGGAGCTCAGGGTAAACTGGAAGAACTGGCTTCAGCAAGCAGCACACAGTTCAATCCAAAAACCATTGCAAAGCCTGTATTTTCCATAGAGGAGCAGTCTGACACTGTGGTGACACTAGCTCTTGAAAGGTCTCTGAGAGCTGACCTAAAACCTGCTGCTTGTTAATTGAATCTTCTTTTGGGTCAGGTTCCCAGGCTGGATCTCTGGGTGGTTGCTCAAAGTCCAGTAGTAGCTCAGGAAAGATGATGGCAGCATCTTAGCAGGGGCAGTGAAGGAGGCAGAAGAGTCCCTTTTGGTGCAAGACAGTCTTAAGGCAGATTATACAGTTGGTAAACTGTGATTTGTGTATGAACCTGTTCATGAAGAAACTTTTCTGCTACAGCAAGTGAAATGAGATGCCACAAAATGAGTTTCCTAAAAAGATTACAGCCTGCTTTAGAGGATTGTGTGTGTCTTTTACTCTGGTCTCTGAAGATTACAGGTAGAATAGAGGAGTCTTTACTGTGGCAGCCTTCTGTTCTCATTATCTAATCCTTTCTGTTTCCATTGTAAGAAATGGGTGTTGCCAGAAAATGGGCACCCTTGTGTGTGTGACTGTTTAATACTTCTAAGCCCAGATGCAAGTTGCCACAACATGTCTTTTTTTTTTTTTTTTCCTTATGCTGAGAACACTTTTAAACTGAACTGTGAGCCTACTGCATTTTGGGGTTATCATACAACACAACACTGAACAAATTCTGGGAAGTATAGAAGTAGTGATTGCTTGAGTTTTCTCTTTTCTATGGCCTTTAACAACATTGGTATTAAAGTACTCTGGTTAGCTCTGAAAGAATATCCTCCTATGAATTATATCCATATGTAAAGCTCCACTCTAAATTCTGTTGCCAAATTTAAACTCTGCAAATAGATGAATTCAAGGGTTGGATGATTCAAGGATTGGAGCATCTCCCTTATGAGGAGAGACTGAGAGAGCTGGGACTCTTTAGTCTGGAGAAGAGAAGGCTGAGGGGAGACCTTATCAATGCCTACAAGTATCTCAAGGGAGGGTTGAAGGAGGATGGAGCCAGACTCTTTTCAGTGGTTCCCAGTGAGAGGACAAGGGGCAACGGGCACAAGTTGGAACATAAGAGGTTCCACTCAAATATGAGGAGAAACTTCTTCGTGGTGAGGGTGCCAGAGCCCTGGAACAGGCTGCCCAGGGAGGGTGTGGAGTCCCCTTCCTTGGAGATTTTCAAGACCCGCCTGGATGCAGTCCTGAGTAACATGCTCTGACAAGCTCTAGGCAATCCTGCTTCAGCAGGGGAGTTGGACTAGATGATCTCTATGGTCCCTTCCAACTCTAAAATTCAGTGAAATAGGACTTCATATAGTCTGAGTCTGGTTAACTTTTGAGGGAAGACCTCAGATGAAAAAATCTAAAAGGTGCTAAAGATTGTGCATTTTTTGTGAGAATGTCTTAAAAAGTTTACTTGCACTGTGTGTGTGTATGTGTGGGGAGTGAGGGCACTGAAGACAAGTTGAGGTGGTCAGGAGGATAAATAAATATTTTCCTAAAAACTTTATGGAACTTACAAGCTTTCAAGAAGGAACAAGCAGGAGCTCAAAGTCTAGAAGAGGAGGTAAATATCTTAGTTTAAAGATAATTCTATACTTTACAAATATTCCTTTCTGTTAAATCAGTCTGACTTTATTAATAGTTTAGTTACTGAATATTGCAGTAGGGTATCTAGATGCTGCTGCACTAGAGTGAAAAGCGAGCAAGACTCCACCATCAGGAAGGAAAGGCAAAAACCCATCTAGAAAATACTGCCATGACAAGACCTCGGTTCTGTGTGACACTGCTCCCCCAGTGATAGCTCGGCTGTCGCCGGGACGGGAGCTGTGCTCCGCGATAGCTTCTCAATAGCATCACTGTTCGGGTGTCCACTCAAGCTTGTAATCCGAGAGCAGATACGGTTTGGTGGGCTTGGTTTTGGTTTACATGCATTTCTGTAGGCCCTTTTCCCAGGCTCAGTTTACATGCCATGCAGAAAGAGCCTGCTGTTCCTTTCATTCTCTCAGTTTAAACTGCTCTGAGTTACTGCAATACCCTTACATTTAATGTTCTACTGTTTATGTTCTCTATACAGCACTGCTGCAAAAACTCTTGCTTGGCATGGTTCACACCCTCTCTTTCCTTCCCTGTACTTGTTCTATTCACTGGATTAAATACTGGGTTTTACTGGATTAAAAGCTGCTTTACTTGCATTCCTTTTCCCACCTGTCCTTGTATTTGCTATTAAATGTCAGCTGCTGTCGCTGGCAAACGATGTCAGTTCCTGTTCCCACTTGTCTTCAGGCACTCATCTTCATGTTCTTTTTTGTATTTGGTCTTATGATTTGAAGAACAGCATACCAACATAGCTAGTTAACTCCATTTTGTTAAAATACCTTTACAGAAGCTTACCACGTGTACAAGTGTTGTTGTACTTGTTTTTTTACATTATTTTACGTTTTTGACGTGCATAGATGTGCCACGTGTGTCAGTCCTTTGCCCAGCTTTAGACTTCTGCTTTGTATGTTACAAACTGAAGGAACAGAATCCATGCTTGTGGTTATACTTGTAACTACTCAAGCAACATAAATGTATAGACAGTGCAGTCTTTGCAAAATAGTAATTTATAAAATAAATGGCAATAAAATCATATGTTATTTATCTTTAAAATGGAAGATTGGGAAGTGTGGCTTCATACTTTTCTGCTTGTAAAAAAAGAATCTGTTTTGGATCTATCAAGTGAGTAACATAAGCATCAGTAGACAATCCATAACAAATTTAACCCTGTGTTATAATAGAATTAAGGTTTACTTCTTTGAATCTGGTCCCCTCTTCTACTCTAGGATGACCCTCTGTCAGGATTGGGGCTTTGGGAAATCAGAGTGAATGTCCTAATGAATAAAATACAGAGAGGGAGGTAGTATGTGGAGCTGTTGGAATCTCTAAATAGTGGGTGTTGCTACTTGATTACACCAGTTTTCCTAGCGGTAATTTGAAGCCTGTGCTTTGACGAGTCTTGGCAGGTTTATAAATAATTTTGTTGACGTAAAGAAATTCAGCAAATGTGTATACTTAAAGAAACTGTGCTGTTATCTATACAGGATTTTTAATGGCCTTTTAATTCAATCTGAATTAAATTGACATAGACTGTTGGTTTATCAGATCTTTAAGTCCTTTATGAAGCTATCATTTCACTATGTCTGAGGTCTTAAAGTAAATTTGACCCAAACTCTTACAGACCTGGTGATTTGCAAAAGCGAATCTCTGCTGCTTTAGTGTCTTTGTTGCCCTGCCCCTGAAACAAACTTACTTCTCCAGTTCTGTTGATTGACTGAAATACTGTTCAGGTTTGTCCACTAGTTCATAAAGCCATCTTGGGCTGTTGTGGTCTGACAGAGGATCTTGGTTCTCCCAGAACTGTAAAGTCAGTCTACCATGTTAGCAGCCATTGGCCTCTAAAACAGGTTGGTGGGAGTAGCAGAGAGCAGTAATTCTTGTGAGGGAAAGCATTTACTGATTTTTAGTTCGGTATTGTTAAAAATACTTCATTTGCAGCAAGAGTAAGGGTGGCTTAACACTTAATACTACTGTAATATTTAAATCATAAATACTGGGATTACTGTCATTTTTTCTTCCGCTATTCTCATAGTCTCTTCATGTGGATGTAACGGTCTCTTATTTTCTCAAGGAGACAGAAAGCATCTCAAATACCGTTACAAATACGTGTGATGTGGAGTCGGCTTCTTCCAACTGTACTTCAAAAAGTGTTCCTTGTGATCCACTAGGTAAAATAAAGTGGAAAAATTTTGTGGGGGGAAAAAAGACAAATTTTAGAAATATAAGTGGGTAATTATTGGATTAAAAAAAAAATCTCTGTACTATGCTACAAAGTGAATATATGTAGTTTTAAACCAAATTTTAATTGCTCAACTCAGGAGAAGAGTAATAATGTAAAAATACTTTGATAGCACTGTTCCTTTTGGGGGAAGGGGAAGGCTTAGTTCTGCAAAGCTAATGTAAAAGCTGTTGGAAGCTTTTGGTGGAGAGGGCAATAGCTTAGAACTTGGGCATATTCTGGTTAGAAGTGACTGCTGAGAAGTTTGGATGTTCTTGGGTAAACTCAAAGTTATAGGGTGCTGTGTATCTCATTGTGCAACACAGATCTACAAGTGTTCTCTTTTTAGAAGGTTCTGTGTACTGCAATTAAAATTTATTGATGAGGTTTTTTTGATCATTGAACTCTCTCTGTTTTGGGTTAGCAGAGAGCAACTTTGTTCCGTTTGACGCGTACAGGACTAATCTACACCAAAGAACACAAGCATCTGTGTGGATTTCTTTTTGTGAAATTTATAATGAGTATGTGTATGACCTATTAAATGTATTGTCCACATCAAAACCTCAGAAGCGCAGAGTGTTAAGAATTTGTGAGGATCAAGGAGGAAATTCCTATATTAAAGGTAATAACACTGTTTTATGACCTTGGCAGTTTCACAGAGTTTCCTTGGTGGTCAGAAGTGTATGTAAAAGGTCTCTTTTCACAGACTTAAAGTGGATTAACATTCAGAGCACTGAAGAAGCCTGCAAAATACTGAAAATAGGAAACAAGAACCGAAGCTTTGCTTGTACTAGAATGAATGAACAATCAAGTAGGAGGTTTGTTCCTCTAATTATAAGCATACACTGTCTCTTGCCTTTTAAGGGGAGGAAGGAGGGGAAAGGGGGAGAAAACTTTAGGATATGTTTGAAATGAGCCACTCTTTTAATAATAGCTTAAGACTTTCCTTGATTATTCTGGTTTTATTATAAAATTCTTTCTGGAAGAATGATAGGAGATGCCCTATGACTTTAATAGTAGCTGGACTTGGGTTGCTATTTGCTTTGGACAACCAAAAAGATAGAATTATGTTAATTTTTGAGTGCCAACAGGGCACTTGACAAAAGCTTATGGTGCTGAGTGGGAATGGCTGTGGGATGTTGAAGGAAAACCTGGATAATTCTTTATCACTAGCTGTATAGTTCTTGGAAACCTGGAGTCTGTCAGTAGGGGATGTAGGAAGGAGCAAGTATTGCAGTACCTTTCAGTGCTGCTAGATTATCTAGATGCTTCTACATTGCTGTGTTCTAGCTGAGCTTACTTGGTATTTTAAGAATTAAACCCCCAGCTCTTAAGCTGAGCTTACTTGGTATTTTAAGAATTAAGCCCCTGGCTCTGGGAGACAGATCAGGGAGAATCTGGTTTGATGGCGTGGGAGGAAATAATGAGAAGGTGGTATATGTTCTGTTGAAAATACCTTCTTACTTGATTTTAATGCCCTCTTATTAATTTGTCCTTTAAGTGTGGAAGGGCCATGTTGTATATTTAGCTACTATAATCATAGTGTTACTAAGCCTGCTTTTTCTCTAAAAAGCAAGAGTTAGTCTTGTCTGTGTTAGCTAAATACACCTGCCATTAAATTTCACACTATTTTTCCACCTGAATTTCATTCAAGCCTAAAGTACTGCAGGAAATAATTGTGTTTTTCTGGTGGAGTTTTGTGCCTAGAATGTCATCTTTTTGCTCCAGAGAATGTTTGCTTCCATTTAGCTTGTTTCTAGATTGTGTTTTTTTGTTTTTCTTTTTAGAAACTTCATTCTTAGCTTGTACTGCATAAGCTTGTCTTCTGTGCTTCCTCATTTATTTGTTAAACTGGGGACAGGGCACTCCTGGATCTGGGATTTTCTGTCTGGTTTCAGTCAGTGTATGTCCACTGCCTTTGTAGCTTGATGCCTAAAACACAGTAACTAGATTTTTCAAGTGTATAAATTCATCCTTTCTAGAAGACAGTAATTTGAACAAATAACTGTGTATATTGAAGGCCACATTACAGGACTTATTACCTTAACTTATTCTCCTCCCCCATCACCTATTTATTTCTAAGTTAACTCCTCAGATTTACTGAGTTCAGATACTGCCTAAAGTTTGTATACTGTGAGTACCTGAGTAATCATCTTCTGATCAGTAGACTTCAGTGAACTGACTTGTTCATTCTCCAAGGCAGCTTGTAGGCTTCATGGGATACTTTCCCCTCTCCTGTACTGAAAGAAATGGAAAGTCACAAAACGCAACTTCTATTGCTGCTTTTTGCTGCTGAATAAATGCATTGTGAAGGTAACTAATGTAAATTAGTGAATGAATTCTTGCTCTTTCTTCAGCACTGCACTTTCTGTAGCATACAAATTTTACTTTGCTTCAGTGACTGCTTCATTTTCAAAACTGTGGTTATTAAAAAGGACTTCTTTCCATTCCAGTCACAGTATATTTTCAATCAGGCTGCTAAGGCTAACTGATGAGCATCAGCCCTGTGTTCTTGGAGTTTCAGAGTAAGTGAATGCTTCAGTTCATTACCAGAATGTAAATGTTTTAGAAAAGTTGATAAGGTATAAGCATGCTAAACTGGTGAGCTTTCTTTTAATAAACAAATCCTCTGAGAGCTGAGGAGGAAATCAGAATTTCACTGGCTGCATAAAACTGACTGGAAACCTCCCAGGGACAGGCATCAAAGTGTTTCCTTGTCTCTTTTATTCTGTTAAGGTTTGGCTGAAGCCAAAAAAATGTTAAAATTCTGCCAATAGTATGTAAACTGAGGGAAATATATGTATATTGTCTTACATAAAGAGGAGGTGGGGACAGAGTAGCTCTAGGTAATTCTACACTGTGTATTCTGTAAGCAGAATTCAAATGGCTGGCTGAGAGAAGCCAGTCTCTACAGTGGGAGTGTGGCAGTTAGTGCTGAAGACCCAAGGTGCAAGCTCTGCCAGTGTATCTTTCTACTTGGGGACCAGACTAGGGTTTGTGAGTTGAATGTTTGTGGTGCCATGTTTGATGTGCTCCTGGAACACAAATTCTAGTGTAACATCAAAAAAGAATGCAGGTGACATGCTCTGGGACTGCTCTATAGTACAATCTATAGTAAGAGGGGGATCATCAGGTGATTTGCTTAAAAACTGTCTCCTGATCTAAAATGCTAATGTAGCTGCACCCAGTGAGAGCAGTGCTGAGTCCTCACACCTCTCTCTTTTGTGATTTGGAGGAAATGGCCTGATCTTTTGACTTCAAGCCATTTAGGTAGCTGTATTTTTTTTCCTGATTAATTGTCCATTTAGCTCGATATGGAAAAATTAACCACTTAACAGTGATTTAGTTCAGTCTTAGTTCCTACTCATTTGTCTCTTGTCTCTGCTAAGCAGAGATAGTAATAAATATATCTCACTGAGATAACACCTTTTAATATCAGATGTTATGGTGATAAATACTCTAAGGAAAGATAACTTGAGGAAATTACTGCATCTGTATTCTTTACTGTTCCCTGTCTTGGTGTATTCCCCTGGCAAAGCTTGCAGCAGCTGTTAGATGAATGACAGTTCATATGTTGCTTAAGGAAGAAAAAAAGCTCCTAGTCTTTTACTGAAAAGAATAAAGATCATAAGATCATAGCCTTTCATACTGTTGAAATATGTGCCTTATTAATATGTATAGTATTAATATGTACTTATTTCAGCTGTGTGAAAGGCTATGATCTTACAAAGGTGTTATTTTATGTAAATAAATGTTTGAGTATCTTTCTATGCAATGGGAAGATAGACAGGTTAGTGCTGGTATCTTAAATACCTTGCATAGCACCTTCTGGACAAAACATTGATATTTAAAATACAACTTATTCTGTGATCTAGGTAGGCTGAAATGAGTCACTCATTTAAACTTTAGACACATAAAGAAATAAAAAGACATGCAGTTCTGTTTTCATACTGTTTAGAAACAAGCTTATATGTGTAATTCTGGGTAATTCTTTCATGCAGGTTGTCTTTCTGTGACTTGGCTGGATCAGAGAGGTGTAATAAAACACAAGCCTTTGGAGACAGACTAAAAGAAGCAGGAAATATTAATAATTCTCTTCATATCCTTGGAAAATGCATTGCAGCATTGAAGCAAAATCAAAATCCAAAGTAAGTGACAAGTTGTAAACAATGTGCTGAGTTTTGGGTTGAAAATCTAAGTATCCCTTTATGTTTCTGCATAAAGGGGGTTTGCATGTTCAGAGGAAAATAGAAATCTACAAAATCCTGTAAGCCTTCTTTATTACAGATGTCACTGAAATACCTGAAGTGGACATTCTTTCTCCAAAACTGTTGTTTGTGGAGAATAAAGAGGGCAATTTGCAGTAAACTAGCAAGCTTTTTTTTGGTGTGGGTTTGTATGAGTGTGTACACTTTGCGTACAGAGCTCCTGTGTTGTCCTCTTGCCTTCCACATCCGGATTATACGGGTAGATTCATCAGACAGCTGATAGACGTCCTGTTATTTGGCTTGTTCCAGTGTCTGCTTTGTAACACTAGGGAACTGGGATTCACAAACTGTGATACTTTTACTTTTAAATACTTTGATTTGTTGGAGCGTTTGAGATCCAGGAAAGACCTTGCTCTTTGATGTGAAATATCTTAGGCTTAAATATGAGCATCCTACTGCGTGTTTCCTGAAGGAGAGAAACATAATTAAGCAAAGTTACAGTATCAGAAAATTTTACAATATCTTATTTCATAACTTTATTATTCTTTTCTCCATGAGGATGAAGCCAAGCTATATTCCATTCAGAGAGAGCAAATTGACTCGTCTCTTTCAGCCTTTTTTTTGTGGAAAAGGCAAAGCTTGTATGATTGTAAACATTAACCAGCATGCTTCCACATATGATGAAACAATACATGTAATGAAATTTTCAGCTATAGCCAAACAGGTAAGAGCGTATCTACTTTCTCTGCTCTCTGCCATTCTTTGTTACTATTAGTTTGTGAAATGATCAGGTTGTATGGACTTGAGCATGGTTAGGACTTTTGAGGCATCATATTAATTCTTCTCTATGTGGATTCCTCTAAAAGGCTTCCAGTAGTCTTGCTCATCCTCAAATCTCTCTGTGGTAAGAAGTTAAAATATCTGCAGCTGTCTGTGGCTTGTTCAGTTTCATACCACAGATGTTCCGGGTGTGGAAAAAGAAAAAAGAAAAAAAAAAAAGTAGTCAGGGCACTTCCAGATATGACTGGTTATACAATATATCTGAGTATCTGAGCAAATACAAGATTTCGATTCAAGCTTTTGATGAATTGTTTAACCTGTGGGCAGTTAAGCATCTGTTGTACAAAATGACAGTTGTTTAAAACTTCTTGGACAGCTGGCGGTGACAGACAAAGAAGTAGCCTTTTACTTTGTAGTCTGAATGCGAGACCTTGTGCCTGCATTGCTCCTATTTGGCCAAGTGAAAATGATTCTTACCAACAGAAAGGGAAGAGGTGGGTTTTTTTTTTTTTTTTTTGTAAATTAAGGCTTGCCTTTGAAAGCAAAACCCTCTCTGCTAAATCTATGTGCTTTCCTGTTTCCTGCTAGCTCTGCTCATCAGCCTCCACTTAAATTTGGGACTTGGGGTCTTAAGTTCCCTGCAAACTGCTGCCTGCAGGGAGTGGGGTGATGGGCTGTACTGTGTTTCATGGCAGAAATGAAGTCCATTTCTAGTCTGGAACCATGGATTAGTTCTGACACGTTCAAAGTCTGTAATGATATATCTAATATGATCTCAGAGATTTTTTTTTTTCTAATTCTGTTTGGCTGCAACTTTCATTGTAAGATAAGAGCGTGCTCTGAGGAGTCAAGCTTCTCTGATGTATTTTCCTATGACCTACACGTGTAAAATCTTTACATAACAAGCATGAATTGCTCAATCCTGTTTACAGTATTTCAGGAAGGAACAAATGTTTTGGGGATTTGCTGCTTTTCAGTAACTTTCCAGGAAACTACACCAAAATCTTGTATTTTAGGGGGAGAGAAAACACCTTTCTAGACAAGCATATTAAGTTTGTTAGTAGGTAATCTTTCTCGTTTTCACTTTGCTAGAGTACTGAACTCTTATATTTGTAGTGATAGACAACTTTGCAGACAAAGACGTGTAAAATTTTGTTAATATTCTCGTAATGATTAATTATACTGCAAATACAACAATGCATTCATGCCACTTCTTCCTAGTATTCTGAAGCCTGCAATATTGACAGCATTGATGAATCGGTGTGTTCAACTCTGGATTTTCCAGGTCATCCAGACAATCCTACCCAAAAGTTTTGGTTATTTTCCACCCAAGCTGGCTGAAGGCGACGGCAAACCTGTTGTGCACTTTGATGCTAGCACGTCTGTAGATGACTTTCCTGACAGTACTGAAACCTACACAGAAGAGGAAGTGGACATCACCATTCTGAGTCATGAGGTAGATACACATCTACTCAAAATTGTACCCAAGAAAGCCATCTCTCTTAGGTCTAACATTAGAATATTTTACCATAAAAGATGTGCTGGAAGCTGTATCAAATGAGAACTGGGCGCTTCTGCTGGGTGCCAGACAGACCTAAACTTAAAGTGGTCTAGTTCCGAGGGAACAAGTGCAGCTGTGGAAGGCTGCCTGTGGCTTTCTAGTTAGGTCAAGTGCTAAATTTGGAATTCATCCGATTGCTCAACAAGTAAGAAAGCAGTATGTCTGTTTAAAACAACATTATTTAGTTGTTTGTGTGCTTTTGAGAACAGCAGGAACAAGTTAAGATGCAGCACTTTAAAAACAAAGCTATACAGTCTAATAGGAATAAACTGTAAACATCAAGTAGGCTTTATGCTGAACAGTTGTACAAATTAATATTTAAATGCCAAGAAATTAGTACAGTTTTTGATAGCAGAAACCATCAAGATGGAGAAAGGCTGTCTTGGCAGTAGAAATTCACATTTGAAAATGTTTAACCCTTGGTGGGGCCTCTGTGAAAATACAGGCTTGTAGAAAGGCCCTCTGTGGATGGCTGGCTGTATGAATATTTCATTTGATGTGCATATCAATGTGTGTTTCTAGCTTGTTTTCTGAACTGAAATATGTTAAATTTAGGATCTCTTGAAAACTGCAGAGAACCTAAAGGAGAAGCTACTTGCAGAAAGGCAAAGTAAGCTCCTTCTGGAGGTTAAGATACGTAAAGAGATGGCAGAAGCAATGTTCCAGCAGCTGTTGGAAACAGAGGAAGCCTGGAGGCAAGTCAAATTGCTGTCCATTTCAAGACAAAGGATTCCACATATATAAGTGCATCGTATATATACATGCATATGTGTAGATATGTTATACACAAGGCATACGTGCTCCAGTTACTTAGAGAAGTTAGGGCTGGACAGTTGCAAAGTTTCTGATGAAAAGGGAAGAAGAAATATTAAAATCAACTTGTAAAGATCAGCTTCTTCCCATGCACAATGCAAAAGTAATGCTTCTTTCTGTTGAACTTTACTTAATTTGTAATTACTGGAGATTGTCCCGACTCTTTATTAATATTTAGCAGATATAGAAGATGGTTACAGGTACCCCACTGAGGCTTATGATTGTTCCAAAACTTGCTCTTCTTACTTAATTTGTAATTACTGGAGATTGTCCTGACTATTAATATTTAGCAGATGTGGAAGACTGTTACAGGTACCCCACTGAGGCTTGTGATTGTTCCAAAACTTGCTCTTCCTCATGCTAATATGCATGTGCTTAAGGTAGTTTGAATTGTATCTCTTTGAGCTCTCCTTCTGGATGACTTACGAACCTTTGCCAGTTTATTATCTATAAATTACTGTGTCTGCCCATGCACTGATGTTACTAACTTGGAGATTTTTTTCAAGCTGAAGCTGAATTCGCTGCTTCTTAATTCTTCTCTTCTTGAAATCAGTTTCCTGCTGTTTGAATTGCTGACAGGGACTAACTCCAAGTTAAGTTGCCAGCTGAAAAGACTGTAGTTTAACACTTGTACTGATTTTAAAATTATTTGGGTACCTTTGACCAAACACATGGAGTAGCAGTGATGCTTTTTATCTTTTGAGGTGATGTTCTATGTCAGTGCTGGGACATTTTTTTAAATTGTGTTAAGAATAATGTATTGAAATAATAAGGTAAATTTGGCATATATCTTTAACGGGAGGGGAAAAGCCCCACAGACAACCCCAAAACAACAATATGAAAGATACCTCTTGGAAATAAATTTCAAATATCAGGTCTAATTTGATGTAGTAATATATGTATTGGTGGATTTTTTAAGAAAGCCTTTGTGTGACAGATCTTAAATGTGTGTTCTTCTATAGCACTTGTCTTGGTATACACCAAATAGAAGTTATGTCTTAGTGCAAGTCTGTAGGATCATTGAGAATAAAAAGGAGAAAAGTAATTTTTGGTCCTTAACTTCACAATTTATGATTAGATGAATAACTTGGATATTGCCAGTTGAACACACGTAGTCAAATTGTAATAGCTGGAATGCTAATATATTAAATAACACTAACATGTTCTCAGCAACCGCTTGGAAGATATGAAAGACAGTTATGAAGAAAAACTGGAGAGCAAATTTGAAATGTATAAAGAGGCCATCAAGAAACACGCGTATATGTGTGCAATGGAACAAATTGAAGACCATTATGTTCCTGTAGAAGAATTTCTAGCTGAACAACAGAAAGTTGAGGTATGACTTGACTGCTGTTAAAAATAAATCGGTGCTAGTCTTTTAACTGTAAATTTTCCTTTTCCTTGACAGAATCATCCAGGAAATCTAAATGTAACACTGAACAGTCAACATAAGTGGGAATTCAGCCTAGCTCTTCTGCTTTCCAGTGCTAACCATAAGGACAGAGATGTATTCTGTCTACTGCTACCTGTAGTGTATACCTGAACTATCTGATCTTTGAGGGCACAGTTCAATTAAATCCAAGTTATCTTTACCTCTGTAGTACAATGATTGGAACACCTAGAGGAATGGTGAAGACAGCTGTCTGGCTTTGTGGGGATGCTTGGGATTGTAGAGTGTGGAGTAAAAATTTAGTCTGAAAGGGCTGGTGGGGAATTCATACAGGGTAGCTATTTTAATTATAATGGATCTGTGCTCTGAAGGAGGATTGTGGGATAAGAAACTGTGATGAGAAATCAAACTTTGTACAGGAGATGACTATACCTAGAACTGCTCAGAGTTGGCATTAAGTTGCTATTCCTTTTGCAACTGAGCTATGTTAGCCACGTGCAACTCTGTCAGTCTCCACTTCTAAGACATGAAGGAAGTGGGGTTTCTGTTGTAAATTGTGATATACCAACATTTTTGCTTGTACAGCGCTCTGTTCAGGTGCTGACAGGCAACACTGTATTGTGTAACAGGCTGTTTTTCCAGCTTCTTCACACTTGTCTCTTTTCCCCACTTTAGACTCTGGTTTTATGTTCACTTTAGCCCCAGCTATCCTCCATGTTGGGGTGGAGGAAAAGAGTTTTATTTAGCAAGCTAACTGGCAACAGTGTTTAGAAGATGCACTTAGGGCAGAAAGGAAACTTAAGTTTACTTTTAATACAGTTTGGGAATCTTCAGACTGGACGAGTTGACTCCTCTGTAAAGGAACTTCTTCCTGGAAGATCTCATGATCTGAGTGTTACTCCTTACTGTGACTTCTCAACCGTAACCATCACAACTTCAACTGAAATTATTTTAAAACTGCTTATATGTGTGTAGTATGATTGAAGAATGTACAATAGTGCACTAGGTTAAGCAGAAATTTAAACAAATTCTACCATGTGCCCTTTTTTTTTTCAGGATAGAGAGAGTAAAATCCTGCAATTGGAAAGGCAACTTGATGAACAGTCAGGGAAGCTGTTGGCTCTGGGAAGTCTGAAGTCAGATAAACTGACTACTGAAAATAACATGGAACTAGGTAGGAATCTAATGTGGATATTCAAAGTTCATTTTACTTTTGGTAATGTGTATAATACCAAGCAAACTTTTCTTTTGCCTTTAGATATTATGAACAAGACAATGAAGAGAGCCAACGAAGGATTGCAGAAACAATGCAAAGAGAAAGAAGAGGTAGCTCTTGCTTAATATTTAACAAATCTAGTGATAAGGGTCCTAAACTCTGGCATAATTCAATGCTTAAAGATCTGCACTGTGGACAAAAGCATGAAGATTCCTGCAAATTGGCATCAAGTTTGCCAAAAAGCCCTTGCCCAAATGCAGATGACGTTTGCCAGAGATGAGCTGTGTTCTGGCTTTACTCTAGTTTGTAAAGGCACCTACTGCTCTAACAAGTCCCAGGGTGAACATGATGTGAGTTGGAAGTAGGGAAGTCTATAGCCTTGTATTGGAATTTGTTGTAAACATTGCTGCCATGGCCTCCCTGCTTTCCTTCCTCAAACGCTGCCTGCTCCTGCACAGGGGAACAGCTACAGAATCTGGTAACAGTTTCCATCTAGAGCCAAAATAGTGCCTTAAACCACTCCTTTCTGTTAAGTACTGAACCCCACTATCCCCTTAAACTTAAGGGTTATGTCTCTGTTCTTCAAACAAGATTCCAGTGTTCTGAATAGCATATAGAGGTGGAAATTATAAACATCAGGCTGTGTTATGGAAAAGAAATATTAATTATTTTTAGATATGCATTTTTAGTGTGTACCTTGAATGAACTTTTTGTAAGGCTATAGAAGTTATGTCTTAGTGCAAGTCTGTAGAATCATTGAGAATAAAAAGAAGAAAAGGGAGAAAAGTAATTCTTGGTCTCTTAACTTCAAAATTTATGATTAGATGAATAACTTGGATATTGCCAGTTGAACACATGTAGTCAAATTGTAATAGCTGGAATGCTGATATATTAAATAACACTAACATGTTCTCAGCAACCGCTTGGAAGATATGAAAGACAGTTATGAAGAAAAACTGGAGAGCAAATTTGAAATGTATAAAGAGGCCATCAAGAAACACGCGTATATGTGTGCAATGGAACAAATTGAAGACCATTATGTTCCTGTAGAAGAATTTCTAGCTGAACAACAGAAAGTTGAGGTATGACTTGACTGCTGTTAAAAATAAATCGGTGCTAGTCTTTTAACTGTAAATTTTCCTTTTCCTTGACAGAATCATCCAGGAAATCTAAATGTAACACTGAACAGTCAACATAACTGGGAATTCAGCCTAGCTCTTCTTATGGTTAGCACTGGAAACCAGGACAGAGATGTATTCTGTCTACTGCTACCTGTAGTGTATACCAGAGCTATCTGATCTTTGAGGGCACATTTTAATTAAATCCAAGTTATCTTTACCTCTGTAGTACAATGATTGGAACACCTAGAGGAATGGTGAAGACAGCTGTCTGGCTTTGTGGGGATGCTTGGGATTGTAGAGTGTGGAGTAAAAATTTAGTCTGAAAGGGCTGGTGGGGAATTCATACAGGGTAGCTATTTTAATTATAATGGATCTGTGCTCTGAAGGTCTAGAGGGAGGATTGTGGGATAAGAAACTGTGATGAGAAATCAAACTTTGTACAGGAGATGACTATACCTAGAACTGCTCAGAGTTGGCATTAAGTTGCTATTCCTTTTGCAACTGAGCTATGTTAGCCACGTGCAACTCTGTCAGTCTCCACTTCTAAGACATGAAGGAAGTGGGGTTTCTGTTGTAAATTGTGATATACCAACATTTTTGCTTGTACAGCGCTCTGTTCAGGTGCTGACAGGCAACACTGTATTGTGTAACAGGCTGTTTTTCCAGCTTCTTCACACTTGTCTCTTTTCCCCACTTTAGACTCTGGTTTTATGTTCACTTTAGCCCCAGCTATCCTCCATGTTGGGGTGGAGGAAAAGAGTTTTATTTAGCAAGCTAACTGGCAACAGTGTTTAGAAGATGCACTTAGGGCAGAAAGGAAACTTAAGTTTACTTTTAATACAGTTTGGGAATCTTCAGACTGGACGAGTTGACTCCTCTGTAAAGGAACTTCTTCCTGGAAGATCTCATGATCTGAGTGTTACTCCTTACTGTGACTTCTCAACCGTAACCATCACAACTTCAACTGAAATTATTTTAAAACTGCTTATATGTGTGTAGTATGATTGAAGAAGACTGGCAACAGTGTTTAGAAGATGCACTTAAGTTTCCTTTCTGCCCTAAGTTTACTTTTAATACAGTTTGGGAATCTTCAGACTGGAAGAGTTGACTCCTCTCTAAAGGAACTTCTTCCTAGAAGATCTCATGATCTGAGTGTTACTCCTTACTGTGACTTCTCAACCGTAACCATCACAACTTACACTGAAATGATTTTAAAACAGCTTGTATGTGTGTGTACAATAGTGCACTAGGTTAAGCAGAAATTTAAACAAATTCTACCATGTGCCCTTTTTTTTTTCAGGATAGAGAGAGTAAAATCCTGCAATTGGAAAGGCAACTTGATGAACAGTCAGGGAAGCTGTTGGCTCTGGGAAGTCTGAATTCAGATAAACTGACTACTGAAAATAACATGGAACTAGGTAGGAATCTAATGTGGATATTCAAAGTTCATTTTACTTTTGGTAATGTGTATAATACCAAGCAAACTTTTCTTTTGCCTTTAGATATTATGAACAAGACAATGAAGAGAGCCAACGAAGGATTGCAGAAACAATGCAAAGAGAAAGAAGAGGTAGCTCTTGCTTAATATTTAACAAATCTAGTGATAAGGGTCCTAAACTCTGGCATAATTCAATGCTTAAAGATCTGCACTGTGGACAAAAGCATGAAGATTCCTGCAAATTGGCATCAAGTTTGCCAAAAAGCCCTTGCCCAAATGCAGATGACGTTTGCCAGAGATGAGCTGTGTTCTGGCTTTACTCTAGTTTGTAAAGGCACCTACTGCTCTAACAAGTCCCAGGGTGAACATGATGTGAGTTGGAAGTAGGGAAGTCTATAGCCTTGTATTGGAATTTGTTGTAAACATTGCTGCCATGGCCTCCCTGCTTTCCTTCCTCAAACGCTGCCTGCTCCTGCACAGGGGAACAGCTACAGAATCTGGTAACAGTTTCCATCTAGAGCCAAAATAGTGCCTTAAACCACTCCTTTCTGTTAAGTACTGAACCCCACTATCCCCTTAAACTTAAGGGTTATGTCTCTGTTCTTCAAACAAGATTCCAGTGTTCTGAATAGCATATAGAGGTGGAAATTATAAACATCAGGCTGTGTTATGGAAAAGAAATATTAATTATTTTTAGATATGCATTTTTAGTCTGTACCTTGAATGAACTTTTTGTAAGGCTACAGTTAGTTCCTCATGTTTAAAGAGGATGGGGAGGAGGGAAAAGACAAGGCTTGCTCCTTTCACTAATAACAAATAGGAGTAGGGGTTGGAGAAATACTTCCAGCTGGTTCTAATAAACCATGTAAATGGAAAGTGAACTTAAATCCCTTTCTATTGAGAAAGTGTACTCCAAAAATAACTTTTTCCTTACCAAGTTTAATGTCTCGTGTTATGGCCTCTGGCATTTGTTTTCTGCCCCTGCTCTTGAGAGCTCTACATAATTTTCCATTTCCTATGTTAATTTTGATGCTAGAAAGAAAGTTTGGCTTTTATGCTTGATATGGGGATACAGCATTGATTGGTTTGTGTGGCTAAAAAGTGTTAGAATGAGGGGACTGCTGCCTGGCACTAACTGAAGTGAGAGCAGTTTAAAGCAGTTGGTTTTATCTGTGCCCCTTTGCTGCTTTGTCTCACATATCTGTGCGTGTGTGATGAGTAATTCACTACTTTTTTGTTTTTTCCCTTCCCATTCAGCCAATAAATAGGTGGGAAGGGTTGTTTTGGCAATCTAGATATTTTCCCTCCAACCTTGTAGGAGTAAATTAATGATATTACTGACTCCAACTGTATTTTATCACCAGAAATGATGGGTTGGGACACGAGAGATTGAGAGACGTGGGCTTTGTCTTCATTGCTTTGATCTTGGGAGTTTGCACTGTTCAATATTAATCAGAAATGCTTATAGTGTCTGTGTGAGTTCTAGTCATAAACAAAATTCATGTAAAATATGCTGTCTTGAGCTCCAGTGTCTATGGGTTTTATTTTCAGCTTATAAAATCTCTGAAGCTTAAAATACAGAAATTAAATGAGACCCTGTTAGAAGCTAATGAAGGCTACAGAAAAATGGCAGAAGAGAACAGTCAACTGAAGCATACGATTGTGCTCAAGGTTTGTCAACAATTTAAAAGCAACTTTAATATAGCTTTTATCTATAGTTGTACTGGATGTTTCTGTGTCTTTGTACACCTAAAACCACCAGTCTAATTTATTTCTAATTTTTTTGCTTAGTGATGTTTTTGAATATTAAATTACCTTCTGCATGTTTTTTTAGTATAGTTCTGAGACTGAAAGTTATCCATCTTGAACTTTTTCTTAATTGGTGCTAAGACACAGGAAAGTGACTTTTTGTTGACCAGAGGGATTAGAGAGCATCTTTAAGACTATATTCTGCCCACTCAAAGTATCTATTCAGTCCTGGATAGCAGACTTCCAACTATAACAGTTTAGACTTGACCAGTTTTGCTTTCAGTAATTGCAGCTTAAGACAGGAAAGCCTTTTTTCATTTGGTTCCTAGAACATCAGCAATTATTTGTGAAGTATGGCAAAGTGTTTTAGCATCAGCTTCTTCAGTCAGACTTGGTCTATAACTAGATCTGATGGCCCCGTAGTTTGCTGTTCTCTAAATTACGTGGCAGTAATTCAGAAGAAATGGGCACTGCATAGACATAACAGGGGGGTTTCCTGGTATAGTAAAATAACCTGAAACAGAAAATTAACTACTTGAAAAAGGCTTTGGAACGTTCATATTCCTTATCCTCATAGGAACAAGAAATGAATAGTCTTCAGAACTGGGCTAAACGTGTTCTTGAGCTTGAAGAAACAGTGTCTTCCCTGCAAAAAGAACTTAACGAAAGGAAAAAGCATTTTTCTATAGAAGAGCCAAAACAACAAAAACCTAAGAGAGGTTTGTTGGCTAACCTGAAATCCACAGTAGCAGCTACTGCTAGTACCCCTCTTGGTAAAGGCTGGGGGAAGCATGAAGACACTTCATCCTCTTCCAGAAAGCAAGTACTGTGGGCTCATAAAACAAAAGACTAATAATTGTGCAATTATTGGACTTCTTTATGACTTCCATTAATCAATCACCTCAAACGGTTGGTAGCTTTTTTTAAGTCTAGATGCCATCTTGACTGTTGTGTTAACTAACAGAAAGATGTTTGATACAGAACTTTTTAAATTGAATCAGGGTTGAATTTAGAACTATGTAAGTATAGACCTAAATATGTGTTTTTACTGTTGGTATAGGGATGTGATTTGATATAAATATAAAAATGTTTTTAATTTTTGAGTAACTGCTATCATGGTCTTCTATACTGATAAATATGTGATTCATGCAAAATTAGATGCTCCTCACTTGCTGCTCTTGTTACCTTCTTAAACTAAGTATTTAATTTTCATTGTTGATTCCTAGAAACCGGATGGTTTGTAAGATTAAGCTCAGGAGGTCAAAATAGCTTGGTTCTTCAGTTAATATTCTGGCTTTGATCTGGCAAGTGCTATCTTGGGACCAAACTGAGCAAATTGCTAAACATAAGGCCTCATACAAGAGGCAACCAAATGAGTTCTTATCTGGCTCCTTGCTATTTTTCAGCTAACTTGGCTTTGTAAAGGAACTTGTCTTGATATCATTTGAATTTCCACTAAAACTATGCATTAAAATTTGACAAATCTATTTATAATAAAATTTTCCATTGATAAATTAAACTCTGGCTGTTCATTTTATAAAGGTGAGAGAACCAGGGAAATCAAGATAAGGAAAGATCATAAACTTAGAGGCCAGATGATGATCATAGTGATTGACATATAATGATCTCAAGTTGACTCTAGTAACTCAAGGAAGGAAGACTTGGAGCATGATGAAATTTGAAATAGCTTTCTTGGAATCGTTTTAAGTGTGAAAGGACCATGCCTGTAAGTGCTGGAGGATGGCTTTGGAACAAGGCAGAAACTGTAAGTAAATTGGATTGATCAGGCCCTGTAAAGCTGTATCTTGTAGTAGAAAGATTGAGAGGAAGAACCTCCCGCTCCCTGTGGAGACACTAGGTGGTGCAGTGTTCCTGTGTGACACTGAGAGCAGCCCTTCAGTGTGAATGTTCTTCCCAGGTCAGAGTTTTAGGTTGGTTTGTGCAAATGCAGTGATAAATAATCACCCTGTCTTTAACCAGGCTGGAGATGTAGCACTTGAGCCAGTTCTGCTCTCGTGTTTTGAATGGTTTCTGTCAAACGTAGTTTAAGTGACTGCAGTAGTTCTAAAGCTCTACTCCCATGCAAACTATTCCAGCTATTAGAAAACATTTTGGGGTAGTGATACAATAAACAGTGTTGATTTGTTGAATAAGACAGCTGTTATGTACAAATTTCTCTAAGAACAGCAATATTCAAACAGAAGTTAAAAAAAAAATCTTCTCAACAGGCTAATGCTGGAAACTTTGTATAATACCATTTCAAATGGTCTCGTGCTACACCTTGACAGTCTGTCACTTGTCTGAGAAAGTGTTACAGAAACTTACTAATTAACAAACTGTACCCTCTCATTTCCTGAGCAACTGCTCTTTCCGTCTTCCCTCTTACTTCCCAGAGCTCTTTGGCTACAGGAAACGGTTTTGAAAGACAAGGTTACATTATCTTAAAATAAAATGAAGCCTGTGGTGAAGTACTGACCAGTTCTTAACTGTATTGTTTTCCAAGAGTGGCAATGGCCTGTTGCTATTGCATTAATACTTCTGAGAGGCTGTTTCAAGGACAGCTTCTCAAAGCTGAATGGGTGCAGGGAAAGCAGAATCCATTAATGTTTACCATTGCAAAATAATCTTGTTACTGGTGATGAACAGATGTTTCCCCTGTTCCACGAGAAGCTACTGCTCCGGATAGAACATCAGTCATTTTTTTTGTCTCAAATTACCACTGTACAACTTGCTTCAGATTAAGTGTTTATTAAAATTAAAAATCACCATACAATAGAAACTATTTACATATTTAACTGAGAGTCTGCTTAAACTGCACAGTTTGACTGAAGGAAGCCAATCGAGAAGAAAAGCAATTAATATTTATGCTGCTGAACTTCAACTGCAGGCACACTGAAGCTTTATCAAAAGGGGTTTAAGCTTCTGCAAAGTACCATTTGCCTAAATAATTGGGCTGAGGGGTGGCAAAGGTGGACTAGATTTCAGGTGTAAGAACCAGTGTCACTTTGGGGGGAAGAAAAGTAATCTATGCTGTAGTTACATTGCAAATGCACTAGTTCAACTGTTTTGATAAGTAATTTGCTAGAACGTTTCGATATGTAGATGTTAGCAAACTGCATTCACTTTTAGGAATTAATTTCTCTACTAAGCAACAGACTTTTAGTGTCACTGCAATGTAACTTGATGTCCTACTGCATATTTCCACAAATTGTTTTGGATAGTGCTAGAGCTGGTTTTAGCTTTAAAACAGATTTGAGGTTAGTTGATTAAAGCAGCAAAAATATAAAGAATATTCTTGAATAATCACAGAGGATTAAAAATTAAGATTAAAATATTTTCACTGGTAACAGTCTCGGAGACTGCGATGAAAGTATTCCTTCAGAATCCCGTGCTTCCCTGTGGACCTCAGATGATGCCTTTGGCCTTGGGGGAAACCAAAGGTGGAATGGAGCTGGGTGTCCTGCTGCTTGTATCACACTTCTGCATCTGTGATGGCTGTGCAATGCTTTGGAAATGATTTTGAATTTGAGTAATACAGCAGTAAACCAGAATCATCTTCAGCGTAAAGAGCTGCAAACATCACCCTTCCTTAAAGGAAACCACCACACCCTTTAGAAAGTCTTACAAGAGGTGACAGTACCCCAGCTGCTGCTGTGAAATAACAAGGATAGAAAAATAATTTTCACAATATGCTGTATTTGAAAAAAAGATACCACCACGTCTTAAATCTTTAAGGTCTCCTTCTTGGCTTTTTCTTTTGGAAATGGCTCTTCATGCATCTTCTTGCCCTTTTATAAAGGTTCTCCTTGTAACGTACGCCATGACTTAGGTCCTAAGAAGGCTGTGTCAGGCTGTGCCAGTGCGTGGTCTCTTTCCTTCCTTCTCCCTTTCCACCCCAAAAAGCCTCTTTGGGCTGGGATGTTTCTGCAGATGCAAAACAGAGCATTTAAGGAGAACTTCAGTTGAATGAAAACGTTATTATTTCTTTGCAGAATTACTCTTTCCTTCAGCATTTCAGCTTCCGCACTCGGTTAAGACATCCAAACTTGTGAAGTAATTGCTTTGAGCAGTCTGTCCAAATAATAGTCTGTAATAATTGTTCTTTGTTTTATGGCTGTTGTTGATACTGCCCTTCTGTTGCTGTGTAGAAGTCATCAAGCACACTCTGTAGATAATCAAACGTTGGCCTCTCTTCTGCTTTGTCTTTCCAGCACGTTTTCATGATATCGTAAAGCTCGGCTGGGCATGTTTCCATGCGTGGCATTCGGTACCCGCGCTGAAGAGCAACCATCACATCTGAGTTGCTCATACCTTCAATAGAAAAAGAAGGTGTTGATCAAATGAACTCAACTCCTGAAGAAACAATTACTTCTTTTTTTATTTACTTCACTCTACAGATCTTCACCCAAGAATACAGGGCTACTACGACTTGCTAAAGGTAGTTACTAATATGCTTCAATAAAGAAGGCTGAGATGTGCACCAGCACCAAGGGACTTGCTTTGAAAAGCCTGGGGGGAGATTTGTGTTTACCCAGTTGAGCATCGTGACCTCTTTGGTGCCAATTCTGCCAAGAATGGGAGAGATCATAACTCTTGTCTCCAGAACCAGCTCCGTTCTGTTCCTCTGACCAGTCCTGCCACCCTTTGTTCTGCTTTCAGCCAAGGTGAGATTCACAGGAGAAGCCCACCCTGGCATCAGCCTTTGTCTCTGGCTGTAGAGCTTCTAACCTGCTCACTGCAGGCCCTGTCCGTGGTGAGACAGAGATGCTCATCCATAGGAGAGCCCATGCTCCCACTCACCCTGCCTGACGTCGTGATGCACTTCCAGATTTCATTCTACATCAGCTTCTTGTGTAAGTGCTGCTGCTTGCGAGATGCTGGACGTGGTCACTCATGATATCATTACTTGTAACAGGCAAGTTCCCCTCCCTTCTTCCTCATCCTATTGTGCAAACCCATCTTCCCAGCTGTGCTGAGCTTTCCTATGTTTCCCCTTTATGGTTTTCTTTCAGAGGATGAGATCTCTGACTCCCAGCAGTGCAGCCTGAGCCCCACGTGCCAACTAATGTCACGTGAGAGAGCCCTGCCTCTCCATCCTCTCCTGCTCCAGCCTATGCTGCTCTTTTTTTACCCCCACCCCTGCCCCCCAGTTTTTTAAATCCTTGAGAGACTGGTTCACAGATGGATTTTGACACCTGGTCTCAGAAGGTCAGCTATGGCAGAGCCAACACAAATGCTCACCATTTCCTACACAGAAACCTGCCTTTCAGCTTGTCCCTGCCTCTGCAAATCTTACACCGTGCGGTGGAGTAACTGTGCCAGGATTGCCTTCTCCAGGCCTTGGACACTAAGTGGTGAGACACTAGAACAGGTTGCCCAGAGAAGCTGTGGCTGCCCCATCCCTGGAGGGGTTCAAGGCCAGGCTGGATGGGGCTTTGAGCAACCTGGTCTGGTGGGAGGTGTCCCTGCCCATGGCAGGGGGGTTGGAACTCCATGACCTTTGAGGTCCCTTCCAACCCCAACCATTCTATGATTCTAAGCTTTCTCTACTCTGGTCCATGCCGTGTCTTCTGATGACTGAGCATGCAGGAAGCATCTGTGCTTCAGCCTAGATACTTGCTACCACCAGTGAAGCCTTTCCCTCTATCAAGAGGGGTATTCCAGACCCCACAGCCACTAGTCACTCCTCAGGCTAAATGGTCCACATGGTGCAGTTCTGCCTAAGACTATGGTTTCTCATGGTTCTTCTCAGGCAACTCAGCCTCCGGTCAGGTGGGTGCGTGCGTGACCTTCACTGCTCCTGCTTACACCAGGTCCCCAGAGGGATGGGGAGAGCAGCTACACTCTGATGAGCAAGGTCGGCAGTGGAGATGCAGGTGTGGTGCTCACCCTGAGTACCTGGTGACTGTACAGCTCTGTTGTCTCAGATGGTGCAGACCTTTGTAGGTGCTGCCTAACTGACTCCTAAGGCTAGGACTTTAGCCACTTGGCAGGTGAGGACACATTTGAATTACAACCAAATGACAACTTTAGCTGGTATAACTACTTTGATTATTCAAGATGACTAAAGTTCATATAGTTGACTTCAGTTCAAGCCTTTTGGCTTTAACCTATTCTAGAAATACAGTCAGCCATGAAATCTGGGTCTGGCTCAGAGTGCTTACTTTGACTACATCTTTTGTATTTTCGGTTCTGCTTTGGAAGGAGGAGTAAAGTTTTCCTGAGCTAATACTGCACACGTGTAGAAAAACAGTATTTTGAAGGTAGCAGCTGAATGGCGGGTTGTCACAGAATAAGGAATTATGCTATATAAAGACAAAATAAACAGGAAGAAAGCCAGTAAAGCATTTTATAGAGAACAGCAATCTGACTCCTTGAGCTTAAGGAAATGGACTGCATATAATGTATGTGGTAAAATAGTTATTCGTATTATGCAAAGTCGTAGCTGACAGTGTGCAGCTACATGAGAACTGCTGCCACTGGGATTTTGGGCAGAACAGGGCTGATTCTGTGGGTTTCAGTGCTTTATAGGATTGTGCTTAGATCTAATGTCCACAGGACTAATTGTTACATTCTGAATGCCAAGGACAAAGACTGTGTTTGCACTAACCTGCAGGAAAACTCTCTGTTAAATAACCATTTAAGTTCACAAGACAAAAATGAAAATAATTTTCTCAGAATTTCATAGAAAATATGTTATGAATGTACTTGCATATATTTAGTGTTTTATTTAAAACAAAAAAGCTTACTTGTCTACCCCACAGTCCAAGCAGTATTCTCAAAATAGTTACTTGCTTAAAAATAAAAATGATAATTAAAAAAAAGTTATTTTTTTTGTGGGTAGAGAAGTACCTGTCTCATCAAAACTACATCCTAAGCAGTTGAAGCAATATATCCCAGGTGCATATTTGTTACACCCTCTTAAATGCTAGCAAAGGACATTAGCTCTAAAGGTTTGGTACATGTCTGTTAATTTACACTGTGGTACCTGTTAAGCTTCACAGATAACAATGTATATTTCTTTAGGTTAGAGCCTGGGAAATGATGTGAACACAGTGGTATGGGGGAAGAATCTCACTCTACAGAAGATGGCAAGTCTTGTGAAGAGCAGCAGACACAGTTGGAATGCAAGTATTTGACATACTATATAATCATCTGGAAATTAGTTTTAACAACCAATTCAACTTCTTCGCCCAGAGATTCAGATACTTGTGTCATATTTCTGAGGTAGTTCCTGAAACTACAGTCCCACTAATTGCTTTGAGTTTCTCAGGAAGAGGAACAGCTGTTGGAATTTAAGAACAAAGATCACAAAAGCCCCAAGTTCCTTGGCTGGAAATGCTCCCTACCAAGTTGCCTGCCTAGATTTTCTTTACGGAAATTAACTGTTTGCCAGTTTCAACTCAAACTCTTTCATACACAGCTTTATGATGAATACTGTCTAGTTCTTGGTTAGTAATTCATGGAAAATAATATTGTGAAGCATTCCCCTTAGAACTGAAAAATCAATTTACTGTTTCTCTCTGGTGGCTGCTGGTTACAACCCATCACGAAGTTACTCTTGCCACGCTGGGGTAATTTGCCCAAACTTGTCACATCTCATCATGTAAAGTTGGTCATTTATTTTGCTGTCCTGATTCTTCAGTATCAACTTTCAGTCTAGTAGTCTGTTTCAATTTATACCTCTATTTAAAATAGACATATATCTCTCTACCAGTTGAATGCAAGCAATGCCTGCAAACTATTAAAACCTTCCAGTACACAGTCAAGAGGCTTCCGTTTCTAATTGCTGCTTGACAAATAAATCCATAGTGCATGGCCTATTTATGGTCCTCATAAAAATGCTCCCATATCTTAAAAAAATATCACCTAGACTTCCACTAGATGAAATATTTTCCCACAGTAGTACAGCAGCGTGGTGCCTGCTGCTCAGATTGATTTTGTTCTGAAAATAAACATATATGTTTTATGGAGGTAAAGAGAGAGCAGACTTAGCTGCAGGATTAAGTATCGGGTTGGGCTTTGTATTGTTGCACTGCTGGTTTTTGGGTGAGCTCGTAGGTTTGCTCAGCGAAGGACAATTTTCCAGGCATCCAGAAATAACTTGGTGAGCCCAGCTCAACGTGGGCAACCAGCTGGATAGACAGGCATGTGTTAATGGGAAAATAAAGTGTCTTGACTGGGGGAAGAACCATGTG